ACTCAGATCACGAACAAGTGACTAGAACGTAAGTACATTTCCACACCAAAAACCGACAACAATCCAATAATAATAAGGGTAAGAGAATATATAACTCATTTAGTGTCTGTCAAACTATCTACTAATCTGACCGCGCGAACAGTAAATCATTATTTTCCTCCCCCGCACATCAGTAAGTTAGTAAAGTGGTCACATAAATTGGTTTGTAAAGTCTTCATTCGCTATTATGTACTTCACTTCTTCGTAATCAGCAATATTTCGAATTGCTAGCTCATTCTCCAAATCATTAATACTTCTCAAATTTTCTCCACATGAACATTTGTTTATAGAATGGGTTATGAATTTCTGAATACAACACAGATGACTTGTAATATGAGTAACTGGTTTCTACATGTTGACTCATATTACTGTCATTCTGTCTTTCAGCGTTAGAACCTCAGTGTTGATATTAAATGTAGTCCACACGTTACTAAAACTTTATACCTGTAAAGTTATCTGAAGACTTATGACTAAATGTTCTAACTATTTATTACATTGCTAGTTTAAAATATAGGCAAATCCGTCAAGATAATAGCGACTAACATTAAAATTGTGATTGCGATCATCACCTTGCTAGATTTAATTGAATATATTACCATCAAATCTAAATTTTCCTCGGAAAAATGCCAGTAAAACGTCTATAATAATGTTTAATGTTTTGAAAGTAAGCATTATTGAATATAGATGATGAGTAATTAAGATTGACTTATTTTGTGCCGAACTTGTAGTCTTGTTGAGTTGAGCTTCGTTTCCCATAAATTAGGTATGGAGATTGTAGTAGTCAGTCACTGAGAATTGTCTACTGATGAACGTTTATACTCCCGCACAAGTACGCACGAAATTTCGATTTCTTTTATTTATTTGGAAATAAGCGCACTGATATATTTACAATGTGGTAGCAAATTTCTCGAAGCACTATAACTGAAATTCGAATTTACTTCACATGGTGCATCACCAATTAGTTATGTTCCAAACTCCTGTTGACCTTGATTTACTTGTTTACTCAGTCAACACTTCCAAGTAGTCCAGCTTAATGGGTGTAGAGCCAAACGATGAGGTTAACGAAGTAGGATGCATTTGACTATGCAACATTTATTTCTGCATATTTTTATTACTGCACACGTAAATGTTAGTGAACGCATTTGATTATTACCGAGACTAGATGAATTTACATTACACTAATACCTTTTGAGAATTTTGCATTCGATAATTCTTTTAATGTTGCATAAGCTTGACGCTCATTCTCAACCGGAAAAAAGTAGATGATTGGTGAAATTCCAGTAGGGTCTACTATATTTATACTACAACTGTTATTAGAATGCTATATAAGTGTCTCTAATCAACCCCAAATTGCATCTCGAGGCAATCCCTAACTTGGAATCCGGAAGAAAAGCAGAAAAGGCGGAAGCCAAAAAAACACGTTACACAGGGAAATAGGAGCAGATATGAAAAGGATGAATAAAAACTGAAGAACTAGAAAGGATTTCCAAGGACAGGGATGTAAGGAGAATACTGGTGGGCGGCCTATGCTCCACGAGGGGTAACAGGCGTAAGTAAATTAATAAGTAAATAATTAACAAGGTCAAAAGATGGATAGGTAAATTTGCTTGTTCAGAAGCTAGAATAAGGTACATGAGCTTAACATATTAACCGACACTACATGCTTTTCCTAGCTGTACTAGTATGAAATGTAGTTATTTGAACTGTTCCATTTTTATATCAAGTTTTACGTTATTTGTCCTAATGGGAATATTTATATCAAATTAAGAAATAATCAATCAGGACGAAACGCGCGTCCTGGATTCCACTGCTAGCTACTATCCATCTCTGCTTACCATGCTTGTGAATTTAGGCTATATCGAGGCAATACGCACAGTATGCACATATGCCAATTAGAGACTGACCGGTTGCAGTCCTAACACATCGATGGGAAGATTCAAACAAACAATACTAAATGAATTTAATAACTTGTCTATAATTTAGCATATATATGACGGGTACTTGAGTCATTCATTGTTGTTAAATAGTTAAATATAAAGGAATAAATTGGTAATATTCTACACTATCATATATACTAATTTTTCATCTAATAGAGCTTGAAGATTAGTTCTGGCAAGTTAACTGTATCCAATTCGAAGTAATCGTTTCTGTCCCGAAAAATGTATTTCATTTATTTGAACATATAAATATTGGTACAAAGGGGAAACAAATACATATGCACCACACAAGTCACTTGGTTTGTGTATAGGTTGGGATACCTACCGGATGCCCAGACCAAAACAGGTGGTTTTTTTCAAAGCACAACACTCGGAGCCTTCAATCTAAAGGTCTGATCCATAAAGCAGTGGAGCAACGTCAAGAGATTCCGTCCCATAGTAACCGGCGACCAACGATTGGTTCATATGCCATTTGTTTCCTTAGGATGCTGAAGCCCATGTGCACAAATCGTTCAAAATCAGGGTTTTCAAACTCTGTTAGATGGATCCTCCGCATCCACCACCGCGGTTAAAGCGCCAGACATTCAATTTTTGTCCTTCCAATCTCATAAACAACACGCGTACTGCGAGAAAGCAGTGAGTAGGAGTTCCATTGTAGTGGCTGTATACCGATGGCCATGTGAGAGCATTTTCAGAGAATTAGAGGACTCTCACCATCCTCGGCCGTACCAGGGCATTTTAAGGGACCTCCTAGATATGAATGAAACAGACATTTTTGTTAATTTCATAATTTCATTTAAGCAAAAGTCTGTAGTGTCGTGTTTCGCTAATCGTTCACCTCAATAACCGTTATAATACAAATCTTAACGGTACATAAAATCAGAAAGCAAAGAGAAGCGGCAACTGCAGTTTTATTAACAAATGACGCAGACCACAAAGTTATAGGCAAATGAGCAAATATCAGCGAGAAAGCGAAAATAATGCACATTGGAAATGGTGGGTAAGCCAACTCACTTTAACCAAGTGTTAATCGATATTTATAGTCAGATAGTCAGTGGTCTATCTGTAAAGGGCTCTGACTCGTAACTGGTAGGTCCTGGGTTTGAATCTCGCGAGTGCGGGATCGTGGGTGCGTACTGCTGAGGGGTCCCATAATAGGACGAAACGGCCGTACAGTGCTTCCAGGTTTTCGATGATGGTCTAGCTTCAATTGACTCATGATTTCAACTTTGAAAAAATAAGTTACTGACATGTGATGAATAGCAAATAAGTGTATATACACATACGCTCATATAAAAACAGTCAGGCTTGATAAGTGAATAATTAACAAGATCAAAACGGGACTCATGATGGATAGATAAATTGGCTTGTCCAGAAGCTTGAATAAGGTATATGGGCTTAACATATCAACCGACACTACAAGTCGACATTTCCCTAATGATTATGTTTATAATTAGATATGTTTATGTGAATCACTAATTTTGTCATACATTGTTAATATCCTGGAGGAAATCATGGGATACAGTGGACAGGCAGGATGCAGCTTGACGATTTAGACTTCGCGGATGATCTGGCTCTTCTATCACAAACGCAACAACAAATGCAGGAGGAAACGACCAGTGTAGCAGCAGCTTCAGTAGTAGTAGGTCTCAATATAAACAAAGGGAAAAGCAAGACTCTCCGATACAATACAATATGCGCCAATCAAATTACATTTGACGGAAAAGCTTTGGAACCTTTACATATCTGGGTAGCATCATTGATGAACACGGTGAATCAGATGCAGATGTGAGGGCGAGGATCGGCAAAGCAAGAGCAGCATATTTACAAATGAAGAACATCTGGAACTCAAAAAATTGTCTGTCAACCAACACCAAGATCAGATTTTTCAATACAAATGTCAAGACAGTTCTACTGTATGGGGCGGAGACGTGGAGAACTGCGAAAGCCATCATGCAGAAGATACAGGTGTTTATTAACAGTTGTTTACGCAAGATACTTCGGACCCGATGGCCAGACACTATCAGCAACAAGTTACTGTCGGAGAGAACAAACCAGATTCCAGAGGAGGAAGAAATCAGGAAGAAGCGCTGGAAGTGGATTGGGCACACCTTGAGGAAATCACCTAATTGCGTCACAAGACAAGCCCTCACCTGGAATCCTGAAGGTCAAAGGAGAAGAGGAAGACCAAAGAACACATTACACCGAGAAATGGAAACAGACATGAAAAGAATGAACAACAACTAGATAGAACTAGAAAAGAAGGTCCAGGACAGAGTGGGTTGGAGAATTCTGGTCGGCGGCCTATGCTCCATTGGGAGTAACAGGCGTAAGTAAGTTGTTAATATACTACATTTAGTGTATTGAACTCCACGTTTGGAACTTACAAGTTATATATTATTGTTTTGATTAAACTTCTACCTAATTCATCTATACTAGAATGCATTTTTAAGTAGATAATCATATATAATCATTATTCAAAAACCAAAAAATAATTAACTGAAATGATGAGTCTATTGAAGCTAGACTAACAGGGAAAACATGGAAGCACTGGATGGCTGCGCACTGCCGTGAAGTCCCACAATAAGACAAAATAGCCATCCAATGCTTCCAGTTTTTCCAAGATAGTCTAACTTCAATTGACTCATGATTTCACCTATATAAAATTACTAAAATCTCCACAGTACCCCCTTCTGATTAAATAATTAAGTACAAATTTACCATTATATATTAGGTGCATAGAATAATTGATTTTCTCTGTGATTTACACTTCTAAAGGTTAACCAGTTGTCAGGTAACACTGACAAGGTCATCTGTATAATAATAAATATGAGACAATCAAGGTAAATCTTTTAAATCTAATATGATTACTATATCACTTAAACACTACAATTACATAATATGTTACATTCATCAATACGCACGATAATGATTATTTAATATCTCGTATACAAGTACTATTCATCAATCTATTAAATCTTCATAGAGTAACCCCTCCCCCCCCCACTAAAAAAAAATGATAAAACACAATGAATAGTTGCTAACATATTGAAAAACACAAAGTATATTACTGAATAATACAATACTAACTGTTGTATGCTTACAATACAGTGCATATTAATCGTCTAAATTCTTATCCTGTTTTGATTTTTCTTTTTACCAAAACAAAAAACGTTCAGTTTACTTCTGTAACATATTTGGTTACAGTGAAGATTTTATTCACCTGATTAATTTATAGGGATTATTCAGTTCATAACATTACAATTACGTAATATATATTACATTGTGAAATATGTATGATAATGATTATTTAATATCTCGTATACAAACCATATATTCTAATAGAAGTAATACTCAACAATTTATTCAATCATCTTATATACTACTTAATGATATTTTATATTACTATAATATCAAATCTATTACATTGAATACAATACATGTATTAGGTAAATTTCTATCTTATATTATACGAATATATAATACAATTGATTATATAAATATAAAATGTATTGAAATAATTAATTATTTAATTAATAATTATTTAATTAAAAATCAATTAAAAAATTTATTAATTTATTTATTAGAATATGATTTATCATTAAATTTATTAAATAAACAATTACTAATTAATCAATATACATGGTATTGTATAAATAATTATATAATTAATAATAATAATAATATTGCATCATTAATACGTATATTAATTTATATTATTATATATAAAATTATTCATTCAATTAAATATAATTTAGATTTAATTCAATTAAAGTATTTGATAAATATGATTTCTATATATAAAATTACATTTAATGAAATTTTATTAATTATTAAATTAATTAAAAATCAATTAAAATTATTTAATTTAAAAAATATTAAATTATTTTGTTTAAATATTATACAATTATTATATTGGAATATTAATTATTTAAATAATTCAAATGATATTCATTATATACAATATGAAATATACGAAATATTTAATAACTATAATATTAATAATAATAATGATAATAATAATATTGATAATAATAATTATTATAATAATATTAATTATAATAATAATAATTATTATGATAATTTTAATAATAATAATTATTTTTATAATTATAATAATATTAATAATGATTATAATAATTACAATAATAATAATGATAATAATAATAATATTAATAATAATAATATTAATAATAATTATTATTATAAACAAATATCAGATTATGGATATAAAAATGATTTAAATAATTATAATAAATTAAAACAAATTAATTTAATACCAAATTATATTTATACATTATTATATAATAAAAATAATTATAGAAATCAATTAAAAGGAATAAATGAATTACAATTGTTTACATGGCAACTATTTTGTAATAAAAATTCTATAGAATTTGATACAAATGATATTGATTATATTAAAAATATAAAAATTTTTTTAAAAAATATATTAAATATAATGTATCATCAAACAATGGATATAAATATACATCTTATGAATATTGTATTGGTAAGTAATAATGAATTGATCAATGATATTATGTTTTTAATTAGATTAGATTAGTTAGTTAGTTGTATTCTATTTGAACCTCCGAATGTCCTGATACGGCTGAGAGTTGAGAGAGTTCGCTCTCTATCCCTCTCTTTCTCGAAATACTCTCACATAGCCACGTGTATATAGGGAAAGTCCTACTAATTGCCTTCTCGTGGTGGGGGTGTTGTTTAGGAAATTGAGATAATCAAAAGCGAATGTCCGGAGCTTTAACCGGGTTGGTGGTTAGATTATTTAGTTAGTTAGTTAGATTCTTATGATTTCGATCTGAGATCATTGCTAGTTAGTAGTTGATAAATGCTATAGTAACTATCCTACAACCAATTTCGACTATGGCTAATTTTGGTCAAGCCCTTTTATTAACCTAATAGACATTGTCATTTGGGTAGTGACAAAACGCATATACGTTTTGTACTGTTATGATCACTGGAGCACATGATACAGACTCTAGGCAAAACGTTGATTACTTAAATATCATTCGATGTCTCATCCTCCTCCTCCTCCTCCCCATATACGTATACACTCAAATCCTATTATTAGCTTTCGTTTTGTCTTGCTGGGCCTTTATACAATTTGACTATAAACTTGCCTATGTAATAACGTCATACTGATGAATACCTAAATATGCTATAAACCTTGATTATAAAGATAATTTTAAAAATAGATAGCTGTAATTGACACTTAAATCAGTATCACTAGAAAATTTCTGTACTTATGAATTTCGATAAGGATTACTGACACATCAATGTCTGAACAGACATTTCATGATATAGTGGACAATAGTCCAAACAATATTACATCTTACGAACATCATAGAGTAACAATATAGCTGAATAAACAACTAATACAATATACTTCTATTAATAAGTGTAAGATTATACAACTAAAACTCATCCATACGTTTTGTGTAGCAACTAATCGAAACGCCTAACTTCTTGATAGAAATAGTTGAAATAGTATCTGTTATCCACTTAAAAATAGTATTCAAATTGGCTCGAATACACAAATATAAAAATGGAAGCATTGAATGGCCGTTTCGTCCTATTGTGAGACTCCTCAGCAAGGAGCATCCACGATCCTGCCTCGCGTGTCCAAACTCAGGACCTATTGGTCTTGCGCACGAACGTTTAACCTCTAGACCACTGAGCAAGCCGACATCTAACGGTGTTAATGTCTAGCTTCAACCAATCCACGAAATTGAGCAACTGTCCAACATTGTCCTCAGTAAATTTCTATCTCACAACAGACCTGGTTGAACTCCACTGGACATTGCTTCTCACTAAAACTCTATGAAATATCTCTTGAAGTCAGTCACAATTAAGCATATGACCATATACTGAGGAATTCCACAATAGGACGAAACACCCGTCCAATACTTCCACAAAACCCCCGTCTGAACATCTAATCATGTTTACTTATATGTATATATGTATATATATAAATCATTACTTTCTTATTTCTAGATGTTATTACATCATTTACCCAATTATATCATAGAAGAAAATATCAAAGAAATCTTTCGTCTATTTCATCCAATTTTAATGAATCCATTCAATGGAATCCATCAAATTATTCATAGAATGTTATCCTTATTATTAACCTGCTTTACAGCTGATATTCTATTCAATGAATTATGGTTATATTATAATAATAATCATACAAATGATCATATACGTATTAATGTGTTATATTGTATCAAATTTATATTAATTAATAATCAATTTAAACAAAATCTGGATATCATGAAAATGATCCAATGTATTGTACAAGGTTTAAAAGATCAAAATAAAATGGTTAGTTTTCTAATTATTTAAATTAATCTATAGCTTGTTAATCAGAAGGGGTTTTTGTGGAGATTTTAGTAGTTATATATAGCTGAAATCATGAGTCAATTAAAACTAGACGGCAATCGTGGAAAACTTGCAAGCATTAGACAGCCATTTCGTCTTGTTGTGGGACTCCTCAGTGGCAGTGTGCATTCATGATCCAACTTTGCCAGCGAGATTCGAACCTAGGACCAATCGGTCTAGCGCATGAACGATTAACCTCTAGACCACTGAGCCGGTCGGCATACAACGGCGGGATCGTGGATGCGCACTGTTGAGGAGTCCTATAATAGGGCGAAACAGCCGTCCAGTGCTTTCAGGCTTTCCGTGGTGATCTAGCTTCAATTGACTCATGATTTCAACTATAGATTTTTAATATGATCATAATTTACTATAATTGTGATGTGAGTTACTTATATTCATATAAGTAGTATGTGATGAAGGCTAAGCATTGAATGTATTTTAGTAGAAGATTGATAAGGAAAGTACAGAAACGAAATGCAATGGATATGAAAATGCATGAACAATAATAATCGGAGACTATGGATTGATATTTACAGAAGGAACGGTCAAGATTAAGACAATTGATCGATAGTTTGCAAATTAACTGTTTATTGTATGGTTATCAGATTTTAGTCAATTAGTCTGTATTATTGTTCTTTAATACACTCGATTGTCCCCATTCGTGTTATTGTTCACTACATAACGAGAAGTGATCTATTAGTGTTTACTTGTAAGTTCCCATTTTTATTTATAACTGCAATTGATCAGTCTCTTATTGGCCATATGTGCATCCTGTGCGGACTGCCTCAATATTGCCTGAAGTCACAAGCTTTATAAGCAATTATGGATAGTGGCTAGCAATAGAATCCAGTTTGATGCACATTTCGTCTTATTTGGGACTCGTCAGCTGGATGTACACGCATCACACAGTTGATGTTCACTCTGGCACTCGAACTCAGTACCGTTCGCTTCAAGCAGGACGAAGCGCGCATCCTGGATTCCACTGCTAGCCATTATTCATCATTGCTTATAAAGCTTGTGACTTCAGGCAATATCGAGGCAGTCCGCACAGGATGCACATATGCCAACAAGAGACTAATCAATCGCAGTCCTACATAACAATGTGAAGCTACAAGTAAACAACATCAAGTGAATTTAAGTATCTGTGATAAGTTTGATAAGTCGTATTAGTGATAGTTGTCAACAATGGTAAAATATTCTCATTAAAATCGTGTTCAGATTTCTTTATCCATTCTATAATTTCCTTAATTCATACAATTTTAATCATTGATCTTTAGCTATCTTGTTAATTAATGGAGAAGGGACAGAATTTGTCACTGACTTTCATGATACTACTAAATTATATTCATCGAGTATATCTGATTGATGATGAACCATCAAAAACGATGGGTATCAAATAGCTTTAACAGAAGTATATACAGAGTTTCAAAGTCACGGCTCCAATCCCATTACCTGATACTCAAGTACGATCGATACACAGAGGATTTTGGAGGAGACGTGATAACTAAGCGGCTACAATAAATAAGGCTACTATGAAGTTTCTTTATTCGTGATTGTGGTAATCAAATGACTTGTGGACATTGTGTAGACTGCTGTGATGTTGTAATGTAATACATGTTAGGGGAAGACGTCTGCTAGAATAGCAAGTTTTTTCTCTCGATCCAGATTGAGACTAAGGCAAATTAAAATAATTGCCGCGAACTGTATGATAGAAGCACCAGTAATATTGGCTGCAATATTCGCAGATGTTAATGAAGTTTCGGCTGTTCAGTGGTATGGGTATTGTAGAGATATATGCGTAATAAAAATGACAAGCCTACAAAACCGTAGAACACATAAACAATATTGAAGCTATGTAGTGGAGTTTGAGAGGGTTTTTGTGACCTTATCATGGCTCCAGAGACCAACTATTATGGAGCCATATGGATGATTTCCTCTACCGTATGCATTACGATTTTAGAACCTTTGAACCTCTTTCTAACATTGACAAGTTTTTGAACCATGTAAAAGAAGTGTATCCACTTGAATCCTTTGGTGTTGTATAATAAATTTTTACTCTATACTAACTGTTTCGTGATTGACTAATATTTCTTAAGGTCACTTAAGGTTCGTTCCAAGGTCATCCATAAACTATAGTCTTGCCAACTGTTGTAATAGGGATGTATTTGACGGTAAATTGCACAATTATGAATGTATTCAATATTTTACAAAATTGACCTAAAGTTATAATAACAATAAGTTATAGTGTAGTGAACAAAAACACGAGGGGGGACAATCGAACGCCCTGGGCACAAAATAATAGACTAATTTAGTAAAATCTAACAACCATCTAGTAAACAGTTAATCTGCAAATTATCAATCAATTGTCTCAATCTTGACCATTCCTTCTGAAAATATCAGTCCATCGTCTTCAATTATTATTGTTTATGCATTTTTATACCAATTGCGTTCCGTGCCCGTTTTTTCCTGATCGATCTTCTACTGAAACGCATTCTATGCCTGACTATCATCATATACTACTTATGTCAATGTAAATAACCTACACAACAATGGAATTTAATAAAAGAGAGAGATAGAAATGAACAAAATCTTTCAGTTTGATTAGGTGAAAAAGAAAGTTTTCCAAACGTAAAGGTTTCAGCAAGAGTCCCATTAATTAATTATTTAATTAATTTAATTTAATTTTCGCCTGTTACTCCCAATGGAGCATAGGCCGCCGACCAGCTTTCTCCAACCCACTCTGTCCTGGGCCTTCTTTTCATGTACCTATAAAAATTGTCGCTCTGGTTGTAAGAAGGTGCATCGGCCTCATGACTTCCGAAGGAACTCGGCTTTCATCATGAGACGTCATTTTTCCTTCTACTCCCAGGGCAGAGTTTGAATGGTTTGAATGAGTTTTTCTGGTTAGCGTTTTTTTAGCGAGTTGATTTTCTACGGGATGGGGTCGCTAACCCCATGCCCAACCCTCCTCCTTTACCCGGGCTTGGGACCTGCAGTAGCCCCTGTAGGAGCTACAGGCGGAGTTAAGAGTCCCATAGAAACAAGGTTAATATTACCAATTACAAAGAGCGTTAAATAATTTTTTAATTTGAAAAACAAATCGTTATTATCAATAGCATATAAAGATTAGAGTGTTATAAGAAGTTAGTAGAATGAAAGAGGATGCTTGACAATGATTTTTTTAAATACTGTATAGCAAAATATGAAAATCATACATAAGCTTCATCATTTGGACATCTTTTTTGAATTATCTCTCACAAGTTTCATCAATCCTTCCTTCTTGTTGTTACCTTGGTTGTTCTCAGTTTCCTTCTCTTTTCTCTTCATTTCAGTCTTCTCAACCTTCTACTCGTAGATATCGCACTTCCGACTGGTGTAACATACTACTTATAACTGAGAAAATAAGTAGCATACACCCCAATATATATAACCTTAAATAGATTTCTGTTCATATGTTGAAGGTCTCTAAATAGTGAGTAAAGTGCTTCTCTCATATTTTACGCCTTTTCTCTCGTGTTCAAGTTGCTACGTAGATTTAGTTTGGGCGATTACGAGACTAGCTTAGAATCCGAGTATAACATTCAATTAACAAGACTTATCACAATTACTTGACATAATGATCTAATAAAACAAACAATGAAACAGATAACCTGTTGAACTATCTAGATGACAGGAATAGATAGCTTCCCTCAAACGTAGATCAACTTCACAGAATAATTATCTAGAAGTTAATACATAATTTATCTTGACACAGCTTTAGATCCTCTCTACACGTAATAAAATGAACTGTGAAGTCTATTTGTTTGTGAATGTGTGTTTTCTTCTTATGAAATAAACATCAACAAATGATCTTTAACAAGGAGACAGACAACTTGTTGAACTATCTAAATGAAAGAAATAGGTAGCCTCCCTCAAACGTAGATCAACTTCAGAGAGTAATTACATAATGAAATAAGATGGTGGTTAGAGGTGGTCAACAAGAAATCCTGGATCCCGGTTTCATGTTACTTGGCACTTGTCAGCCCCCAAATGCCCTGGTACGGCAGAGAGTGGGGAGAGTCTACTCTCCCTCTCGAAATGCTCTCACATGGCCAGCGAATATATAGCCTCTGTCAGGGAAGTCCTACTCACTGCCTTCTCGTGGCGGGGGTGTTGTTTACGAAAGTGAGAGGACGAAAAGCGAATGTCCGGCGCTTTAACCGGGTTGGTGGACACGGAGGGTCAACCTGGGGGAAATGGAAAACCCTGATTCCAAACCAATGGTGCACATGGGCTCCAGTATCCTGATGGAACAAATGGCGGACGAACCTGTCATTGGTCAACGGCTACCATGGGACTGCATCTCCTCACGATGCTCCACTGCCTTGTGGATCAGACCTTTTGGTCAAAGGCTCGGGGTGTGGCCCCCTAAGAAAACCACCTGCTTCGGTTTGGGCACCCGGGCAGTATCACAGCCCACACACACAAATAGTGTGGCGCATATGTACCTGGTGCCCTTTTGTACCAATATATATGTGTTTAAATGAATAAAAGAATGTCAGCAAGGTGTACCTGTAATCTTGAGGAAACTGGTGCTCCCTAACGGATTTGATCCCGTGTCACTTTGCTTTACAGACAGAGATGTTACCACTGAGCTATTCAGGCCGTGATCAATTTTCCGTAGGACTGAGATGTAATTACAATTGATCAGGACTAAAGATGGACTTGACACATATGACATTGATCACAACCCAGTGATCAATCAATGGTGAGTAATTACATAAGTTATCTTGAAACAGTTTTAGATCCTTTTCTACATCATCCCAATGGATCTATTGAGATGATTTCCATCTTCGATTTCTATTTTTTCAGATTCAATCAGTGGCAATTGAATGTTGTGCAATCCTTATAATGTTATATAATTCTAAATCTAATCAATCTATTATAAATTTAATTAAAAATAATTTAATTCATCAAATGTCAATAATTGAAATTAATTTTTTAATAAAAAAAATAAAAAAATTTATAAAAAAAGAAAAAAATTTTAATGAAAATTTAGTTGATATGGTGGTGGGGATTAATGAAAAAATGAATTTAAAACAAAATTGTATGTTGTTAAAGTATGTTTTTTTTTATAGTTTTTTTTATATTAATTATGTAATTTGTCATTATAAGCAAAGATGGATGGTGGCTAGCGGTGGAATACAGTTTGACACTCAGTTCGTCCTATTTGCGACTCGTCAGCTGGATGTACCTGCATTTCAGAGTTGTTCTTCATTGTAGAACTCGTATCCAGTACCTTTCGCTTCAAACACCATCGCCTTAGCCACTTAGGGTATTGAGTCCTGATAGCCACTTGCTTGTGCAATGGGGTGAACTTTGAATTCTCTTGGTATTGTTTGTTTGAACATTCCTATTGATGTTTAGGACTGATCAATTCACAAGTCTCTTATTGGCATATGTGCATACTGTGCCTATTGCCTCGATATAGTCTTATTTCACAAGCACTGCAAGCAAAGATGGATGGTGGCTAGCAGTGGAATCCAGTTTGACACGGGTTTCGTCATATGTGGGACTCGTCAGTTGGATGTATTTGTATTTCAAATTTATTGATGTTCACTCTGGGACTTGAACCCAGTACTGTTGGTTTCGAATGCCATCTGGTTATCCACTTAGCTAATGAGTCATGATAGCCACTTGCTTGTGCAATGAGGTGAAGTTTTAAATTCATTTGGTATTGTTTTGTTTAAATTTTCCCATTGATGTGTTAGGACTGCAACTGTTCAGTCACTAATTGGCATATGTGCATACTGTGCGTATTGTCTCGATATAGCCTTAATTCACAAGCATTATAATAGAACAAAACGCGTGTCCTGGATCCCACTGATAGCCACTATCCAGCTTTTTTATAATGTTTGTGAATTAAGGCTATATCGAGACAATACGCACAGTATGCACATATGCCAATTAGTGACTGAACAGTTGCAGTCCTAACACATCAATGGGAAAATTTAAACAAACAATACCAAGTGAGATTCAATTGAATCTCGACCACCATAGAAAACCTGGAAGCACTAGACGGCCGTTTTGTTCTATTGTGGGACTCCTCAGCAGTGCACATTCACGTGAAATGTGAGATAGGAACTCACTGAAGACAATTGGTCAACGGTTGCTCAACTTCGTGGATTGGTTGGAGTTAGACATAAACACCGTCGGATGCCGGCTCAGTGGTCTATCGGTTAAGTGCTCTGGCGTGAGACTGGTACGTCCTCGGTTCGAATCTCGCGAGTGCTTCCAGGCTTTCTATGTTGGTCTCGCTTTAACTGATTCCTGAATTCAACTGTTAAAATATGTATTTGACGAGATATACACACTGATAAATGTGAGATTACTTAACTGATAATCTAGAGGAGTAGTAATATTTTATATGGACTATTCAAGGATAATAAACATAATTAGTAGCTGAGCTATTCTACCTATTAAAATCCTCTAAAACCAATTAGGTTACCCATAAGAGAGCCACAAAATATGGTACTAAGAAAAATTCGTCAATCAATGACAGCCAAGGAATTTCAAGTAGGAAATGTAAGTTGTAGGTCAATTTAGCCTTTCTTGACGCGTAAAGATAAAATTCAAATTTCCAGAATAAAACTAAAAACAATAGGACCTTTCCCAAGTGAATAATTGACATTATAGAATTTAATAGATTATCTATATTTTACAGGCAATAGAAGTATTCATCATTCGGATTATAGAAGTGATTCTGTAGATTCATCTATTCGTCGAAATACTTCAGAAAGATATGATATGCCAATTATTCATTTAGATTCAAATAAAATGAATCATTTAAATGGATCATCATATTATCAAATCTCTGAATCTCGTAAACGTTTGAAGTCATGTCAATCAGATATACGCAAGTCTATTCGAAGATATAGTGATCAAATGAAAACTCATGATTCTTCTAGACAAACTCAACGTCAATTAGATCATAGTAAAGATATGAAGTGTCTTTCACATACAGACAAGATTTTTAATGAATCACCGCCAACAACAATTAATGTAATGCCAGATCTTCCAGATACATTCAATGAAGAAGAGATAATCTGTCCAGTGAATTGTTACAATCAAACTACTGAAAATCAGGTATGTTCAATCATCATTATGATACTAGTTTATTTAATTATTGGATTACTCTTTGTGTTCTTCCCAAATTCTAATCTTCTGAATTCTTCATGTCTCCTATCTTTTTTCTCTTTTCAAATTAATTTCACTGAATTATACTCCTTGAATATCATCTTCAAACCCTTCATATATCCTGGGACTACTGAGTAAGTAATGCAGTTGTTACGAAACGGGTACTAGGTAAGGATGGTGAATCAGTTGACAGAGTAGTGAAACTCCATCAGTTAAAATGGATGGGATATGTGTTACGTATGTCCAACTACCGAATTCCCCGACGTGCAATGTTTTATGATGTAAGAGTAGGTTGGAAGAAAGCTATGAGCGACCAGACTTAAACGTGGCACAACTGCATAAAGTCACTGACAAGTGGACTAAGCCATGTTGGTAGGTGTAGACTACGTGGTTGGGATCCGAGAGATGATAACAGCCGATAGTTAGAGACCTTGAATGTTATGACTCAAAATCGTTTGCAATGGCGAAGGTGCATCCACTCTTTGTGTTCTATCAAATTCTAAACTTCTTAATTCTCTATAACTTAATCTTTTTTCTGTCTCCAAATTTATTTCATTGAATTATACTCCTTTAATAACATCTTCAAACCCTAATCTTTCAGATTACTGCATATACTCTTACTACTTTTACCACTATGGGATTTGAATCGACAACAGCCTCTGTGTGTTAATGTGATATGGCAACTCGAACTGATGTACGTATGTACGAAGTTCTACGTTGTGACTAACTGACTGACTGAATTATTGGATCAAGTTAAAATTGAATCGAAAATAAATGATCAAAAGTTGTTAATGCAAAAATAAAAACAGATCACATATACTTTAGGGTCATTGGATGAACTTTTGTTGTCATAACCTTTAAATCATCAATTGTACCGAAGGACATGTAGGTATCAAATCAATACTAGATAAATGATTATGAACCAATATGACAATGGATCTGATATTTTGTATTGATTTGATTCTAAATTGTATAACTTAGATATTATTGTATAGCTGTGCTCAACATATGATTTATTGACCTAATTGGAATATTCAGTACCATTGTAGTAAACATGAGTACAAGTGGAGACAATCGGATGTATTTCAATACAAAATAACAGAACGTCTTAGTAAAATCTGTACACCATACAGTAAATACTTCATTATCAGAAGAGGGGGGGACGAAATTGCCATCCAGTGCTTCCAGGTTTTCCATGGTGGTCTAGCTTCAATTGACTCATGATATCAACTATATAAAATACTTCATTTGAAAAATGTTCATCAATTGTCTAAGACGTCATTGTTCTTTCGTTTCCACATCAATCATTCTCTGTTCTCGTTCTGTTTTCGTCGATCTTGTTAACTGTTTACCGTGAAGTATTTCACTTTCGATGGATGAAAAGAGAATGAGAACAGAGAATGATTGATGTGGAAACAAAAGAACAATGAAGTCTTAGACAATTGATGAACATTTTGCAAATGAAGTATTTCCTGTATGGTTCTCAGATTTTATTAAGACATTCTGTTCAAATACATTTGGCTGTTTCCATTTGTGTTCTCATTCAAATATCTAAACAAGTCTGTGGAATATCTCATACTAGAGAGTATTTACAATGTCTTCATCTTTTGAAATGTATTATAATTAGCTATAAGATAATTCGATGACCCCTTTTCTTGAAAGGGAAGCAGTTTTTAAGTTGGTGGAGATTTGTAACTCAGGCGGATGATTTTGGTGGAGTTTTATTCTCTAAGCTGGATGGTTCAGTAATGGCGCTTTCATTGTTCTTCTGAACGATATCATCAGTACAAACTTCAAATAGAAGTGAAGTGTTCAAATTTCTCCATATATGAAACAAATCAGCGGGAGATAAGTCTAGTAATCGCATGTTAAACTTTCAAAATTGTTATATCTCGAACTTAGATGTTACGTAACACTTGGGCACTCGAACGCTAGAACCTTCTCAAGTCACAAAATGAGAAGACAGAGGAAAAATGGAAAGAATGTTATTTCCAATACAGTGTCAATTATGGGACAAAACTATCAGGTATTTATAGTTGTTAGTAAAACCGAAACCATCATTATAGTTATCCAATCCGCATACAGGGTGTTATTAGCATTTGTCCAATAGGGAAGCTACACGTAGTGATTCTGGAATATTCTTCCAAAGGCTGATTGGATGGAATATGTTCGGTTCCTTTTGAGCTTCTTAGAGCTTCCTCAACAAAAATATACTATATCTTTTTGAAAATAAGCATTAAATTTAGTCAGATATACGTTATAAATCTGTTTAAATAAATGCTTCTTTTGCTCTTTCAGATAAATCGAGGTTTGGAAAGTTTACGTAATTCTGTATCTAGACGTCGTAAACAATGGTTATTTAATCAATTGGCTAAGTTGAAAGCTAAAAAATTATCCGAGAGTAATCATGAGTAAGTATTATGTATATTAAATGTTTCCTTTGCCATGAATGATAAACTTTTCGTAATGCTTGTTGTTATGATATGAGGGTTGTTTGTGAAGATTTTTAGTAATTTTTTATATATACTTGAAATCATGAGTCAATTGAAGCTAGACCACCATGGAAAACCTGGAAACATTAGAGACGGCCGTTTCGTCCTATTGTTAGACTCCTCAACAGTGCGCATCCACGATCTCGCCTAGCAAAATTCAAACCCAGAAGACTGATAGGTCCTGGGTTTGGTTCACGCTAGACGAGATCGTGGATACGCACTGCTAAGGAGTCCCAGACTAGGACGAAATGGCTCTCTCTAGTGATTCCACCTTTTCCATGATGGTCTGGCTTCAATTGACTCAAGATCTCAACTATTGAAAATTTTATAATATCTACAAATACCCCTTTCAACTTTGAAATTATTTGATATTCTTCCGTCATTTGTTTTCCCTCTCCCACCCCACCCCCCCCCAAAAAAAGAAATCTTCAAAGTAACTTATTTCAAATGAAATCTGACAATATAGAAAATCAACATTATCCATTATGTTTAGATTCAAATCTGTGGATTAATCAAGATAATGATAAAACATATCGACCATCATCCTATGAATATCTTGAAAAAGTACCAAAGAAATGGAGAAATGATATTTCATATTCATTAAGTAAGTTCATTCTAAATAAGAAATTTCGATTGAAATATATTTGACAATTTAGTTACATGTTAGTTGTTAATCATTAGTAAAGTGTACTTGTACTTGAGGTCTGTTTACTGCATGTTATTCAACTTAATGTAAATGGTTAAGTTCTTCCTGTGATAATTTGAATTTCCAAGAGTGGCGAGACTAAACTATATGGACGAGTCAATGAGAAGCTTTCGTGGGTTTTCAAGGTCACGGCGCTAAGCTCGTAACCTGATGCCTACGTACGGTCGGTTTACAACGGATTTTAGAGAAGACAAGATAATTCAGTGTGTACAAGAGAAGTGATCATAAGATTTTGGCGCGCAATTCAATTATCCATTTGTATAAATAAAATTTTGGCATTATAGCTGATGTCAGTTCGCGATGAAAACCCTAAGTATAATTCCTAACCTTTACCATGAACTGTAAATCATAATTAGAATTATTCACACAGATTTATAACCCCCATTTAGTCTTAGTTACTATGGCGACACTCTCAGAGTCACTCTAGTGTCGCTCAGAGGTCGTCCATAATTTATAATCTCATCCTTAAACCTAGACCATAACCCTAAAACTTAACTCTAACCCTAAACCATACCAAAATACCAACAACATTGAAGCTATGTGGTCGAGGCTAAAAGAATTTTTGAGACCTTATCATGGTTCCAGAGGTCGACTACTATGGAGCCATATTGATAAGTTCCTGTACCGTATGCACTATGATTTTAGAACTTCTGAACCTATATCTAACTTTAATAAGTTTTTGACTCATGTAAAAGAACAGTATCCCCTTTAATTTTTGAGTTTTGTATAATATATTTTTACTGTATTCTAACTGGCTTCTGATTGGCTAATATTTCACAAGGTTATTTAAGATTCGTTTAAAGGTCGTCCATATAGTTTAGTCTCGCTCTAAAAGCTTATCAGATATCATTAGTTCCCTCAAATTTCACAGTACGCCAATATGACTACATGTTTTCCTTCTGATGAATAAAATGTCTGAAGCAGTGTCGAGCTGCATACGGGCACAGCGTCCATTAATCTCTAAAGTCACATATCATTTTCGATTATGTTCTGTTCTAGTATATGCCACCATTATTCTATTAGATGATGAGTAATGTTTACGTCTCCGGTAATGAATACGTGGTGAGCGACGGTGCATCTTCTTCTTACAACATCTTTCTTTACGTCCTTTGAGCTGACATTTAGTACATCGGTAGTTTATGTATGGGCAGAATCTTTCGTAATGCAGCTGTCTGCAAAACCAACATGCGGATGGAAGCTTCCTAATGGTTGTGTTCTGCTTTTGCATATAGGAATCTTTCTTACCACTTACTGCCTGTACACAAAGGAGTCGACCATTATTTTCTAAAATTGAGGTGTCATGTTTCAAGTTCACTAGACGCTGACATTAGGTAGTCACCTCTTGTAGAGTGATATTTGGACACTGTTCAATTTTACTCAGAATTCTGGTTCTGATGTCGGTATCTTCTGGAGACTGTGAGCCGCATACAAAAACAAGGCATTTGCATTGTTCTTCTGTCATTGCTGATAGTTTAAAAACGCTCACATTCATGATTTACTATGCCGACATGTTGCACTCAGTCATCGTTGCCAGCTTTGACTATCTTGAGGCACTGATACCGAATATTAAATAAGGAAGACGGTTCACCGAAAATTTGCGACATTGATAATTGAGCAACTAAATGTTAATTATATGAATAAATTAATGAAATATTTGTTTTGATTAAAAACATCTTGAGACTTTGGTTTGATATAGTATATTTTCTTACGGCATATCTCTGTTATATATGATAAGCCAAATTAACATCCAACCAAATGCCCTGGTACGGCCGAGGGTGGAGAGTGTCAGCTCTCTATCTCTCTAAATGCTCTCATATGGCCACGTGCATGCAACCACTGCCAGGAAAGTCATACTCACTGCCTTCTCGTGACATTACTGTTGTTTACGATATCGAGTAGACGAAAAGCGAATATCCAAAGCTTTAACCGGGTTGGTTGATATGGAAAATCCATCCAGCAGAGTTGGAAAACCCTGATTCAAAATCAATGGTGCACATGTGCTCCAGGATCCTGAACGAACAACTGACGTATGAACTTATTGCTGGTCACAGGCTACTATGTGACTGCATTTACTTACGTTGCTTCACTGCCTTATGGATCAGACCTTTAGGTCAAAGGCTCCAGGTGTGGTCTCCTAAGAAAACCACCTGCATCAGTCTGGGCACCTGGTCAGTATCACAACCCACACACAAATCAAATGACTTGTGTGATGCATATATATCTGGTGCCCCTTAGTAACAATATTCATGTGCTCAAATGAGTTTTTACTAATAATCAAGTTAATGATCTCCATGTCAATCTATTTCACAATGAAGTTCTTATAACTGACTTCTTTTTTTTCAATTCTTAGATCAGAATTCATATAAACAATCTAAATATAGTATAAATAATAAAATCTATAGAAGTATGGATGATATTCATTTAAATGTCAATAAAGAACAGTCTAAAATGGAACATACTACTAATAAAAAGTAAGTTTTACTTTTTTTATAAATTCATTGAAATTCACAACTATATAAGCAAAGATAGATAGTGGCTAGCGGTGGAATCCAGTTTGACGCACGTTTCGTCCTATTTAGGACTCTTCGGTTGGATGTGTCTTCATTTCAGAGTTGATGTTCACTCTGGGACTCGAACCCATTACTGTTCGCTTCAAACGCCATTGCGTTATCCACTCGGTCACTGCTAGCCACTATACATCTTTGCTTACCATGCTTGTGAATTTACGCTATATCGAGGCAATACGCACAGTATTTACATATGCCAATTAGAGAATAACCAGTTGCAGTCCTAAAACCATCAATGGGAAGATCCAAACAAACAATACTAAGTAAATTTTATACAAGTATATGAATAATGAAAGTCGGTGAAAAAAACCTATTTCCCACATAGTTTGAATTAATAACTGTCAATAGTAGTGTCCAGCTCTCCTGAGAAACGGGATCGAGCTGTACTGCTCAGGTTAATCCTAAGCGGTGTCTAGCTCTTCTGTTAAACGAGATTGAACTGTACTGTTTGGGTGGCCGCGTGAAAGTCTGGATAGTGTCCGGTTCTCCAGAAAACTAAGGTAAAACTACCTTATCCCACGAGGGTATATTATATAACTGAACTAAGAGTGTAAATTAAATTCTGATGTGAAGAAAATTCTAATACAATTCTGTAACTCAAAATGTATCCATTTAATTTAGTCGTTTTCTTGCCAAACAATCTACCGACTAAACGAAGATGGATAGTAGCTAGCAATGGAATCCAGCTTGACGCGCGTTTCGTCCTATTTAGGACTCTTCAGTTGAATGTGTCTCGATTTCAGAGTTGATGTTCACTCTGGGACTTGAACCTAGTACGTTTCGCTTCAAACGTCATCGCGTCAGCCACTGAGCTACTGATTCCTGATAGTCACTTGCTTGTACAATAGGGTGAATTTAAACTACCAATTAAATTTTGAAATTCAACAGTCAATAAAGAACTTGACTTCACATCAATTACCAATTCAGTTTTAAAACTCAGTCAACAGTGTACTAGAACAATTAACTTTTTGAAAGATAAATGAAATCCTACATGAAGTTAGGATTTCTTCATCTTTAATTATTAGTGCTCGATACAAGATTAACGCATGATTACTTAATGTTTCCATTTCATCTATTTATATGAAAACATAAATATTGGTACAAAGAGGCACCGAATAAATATGCACCGCACAAGTCACTTTATTTGTGTGTGGGCTTTGATACTGAATGAGTGCCCAGACCGAAGCCACACCCGGAGACTTGAACCTAAAGGTCTAATCCATAAGGCAGTGGAGTAACGTTACGAAGTGCAGTCACATGGTAGCCGGTGGCCAACAACAGGTTCATACGCCATTTGTTCCTTCAGGATCCTGGGACCTATGTGCCCCATTGATGTGGAACTCCGTACATTTTATTTACTTGATATGTGTTATAATTTCTCTTATTACAATCCAGCTATTCCTATTGCTTAGTATTCTTGGACATAAATTCACTAGACAATTCCCTAAATCGGAACACAATTGAACAGGAACGAAATTATATTCCAAATAACAAGAGTAGATGGAAATAAGAAGCACAAAAAAAGAATCATTAGTATATTTATAGCTTTTACATGAGAAGACTCTAGAGTCATATTCAAATATCGACTAGCGCTGATTGGATAAGAATTAACCGATCGGTGTGCGCCAACATATTATGTAATACTAAAGTATGTTCATTCAATATCTTCATAGTTGAAATCATGAGTCAATTGAAGCTAGACGACCATGGAAAACCTGGAAGCACTGGACGGCCGTTTCCTCCTATTGAAAAACCATCCGATGCAGGCTCAGTGGTCTAGTGATTAAGCACTCTGGCGCGAGACTGGTAGGTGCTGGGCTCGAATCTCACGAGGCGGGATCGTGGATGCACACTGCTGAGTAGTCCCATAATAGGACGAAACGGCCGTCCAGTGCTTCCAGGTTTTCCATGGTGGTCTAGTTTCAATCGATTCATGATTTCAACTATGAAAATACTGAAATATCCAGGAAAATCCCTTCTGATCTAAATTATATTTCATTATTTTGTATTGATATTCAGTCAAGAGAAGCAAATGATTATTCCAACACAGAAGTTGAAATACTCATCATCACCAACATTATCATATAAAGAAGGAATTCAAAAGAATTCACATATTATCAAGAAATCGATTCATCCTTCTAAAAGAATTAACAAACCAATAGGAATACAAGAAGAAATTCTTAAATCAATATCATCAAATCATTGGGAAGAACAAATTAAAGCTACAAATATGATACAAAATTTACTTGAAACAATGAATGTTAAACCATTAGAGATTATATTTAGTAATTCAAAATATATAAATATACTTATACATGGAATTGAACAAACTATTAAATGTTTACGTTCACATGTAAGTTATTGAATTATAACTTGTGTATAGATGTTCAACCCCTCCCCTTGCCTTCCATTCACAGTAACATGGTGAAACCTAGTAGGTTTTTTCTGAAGAAGAGTGATACATCGAAGCATGACACAACTATTGGGGCTCAATAGCTGTTTCTGTATTGCTTACGTAGAAACATTACATTCTTTTATTATCACAAGGGGTTTTGTGGAGATTTAGTATTTTCATAATTGAAGCTAGACTACCATGGAAAACCTGGAAGCACTGGACGGCCGTTTTGTCCTATTATGGGACTCCTCAGTGGCAGTGCACATCCACGATCCTGCACTCGCGGGCTCTGGCTCGAGAGTGATAGGTCCCGGGTTCGAATCTCGCGAATCTCTTTTATTTTTTTGAGCAGACTCATTCATTCTTTCTTTTTCAACCAACAATAATTATGCAATTATTCTTTGTAGCAATCGTAATCATTTGTGGGTATAAGTAGAGTAGATGATTAGGCTGATCTCCAACACCCAGGTTCCCGCTTACGTTAGTACATGGAAACAGACTCATGATCCAGGAGGCATGATGAGGACGTGTGAGCTGGGTTTTGCCTCACAGAATATATATATATATATAATGCAGGACTTGAGAATGTTAAAAGTTATCCAAAAAGAAGTTACCATTCGTTAAATGATTGAAACAAGAGTTGAATATTATAACAGTCAATAAATTCCTGAAAGTTCCTAGACAAGGCTGCTGGGATAAATTATCTCTCTTTTTTCAAAATAGTCTCATAAGGTCACTCGTTTATGTCTTTTGGCTGGGAATTTCTACTCACATGTCGAAAACGTTCTTAAGAAAGCAGACGTAAGACGCTTTAACTGCGTTAATGGTTAGATAAGGGTTTATACGGGGTTTGAAAAAACCCTGTTATCGTATATGCGTCAAACTGAAAAGGAAATAGATACGTTTCTTTATAATAATTTCATTCCTAAACTTACTCATCATTTCATCTCTGTTAATGAGAGTATTTCTGTTTAGTACTTGTAAAACCCGGTCTCTCCAAGCTAAGGATGTTCGGTAACACTACACGTTTTGTCCAATAGACTGCTGATGTCCGATAGCGATATTATGTTAGTAATGACAAAGCCAGACGGTATGTGCTTAAATAAAATGACGACAATTAAATAGGTATTAACATATTTAAACACTACTTTATTACATTGAATTGAATCTCATCCTAGCGGATTTCATATACAGGGTTATTTGAGGACGCTTTAACTGACGGGAGAAGTGTACAAGTTATAAAATAGCAACGTACCATAAATGGCAGCTGTATATGACTAAAACTTCCCCGTGATCATGAAACCCAGTGACTAGGAATGTTATGAAATATAACTCAGAATAGATGTTAGTAGTGATCCCCCCCCACAGTTTATTATTACACTATTGATAACAGTGAGAAAAGCTTTCTTTACTCAAAGAATTCAATTTCCGCTGTTCACTGTAGGACTCGAATGAATTACTTTTCACTTTAAATGACTAGTGCGTTTTCGGCTTGTCTATTGAGTTCAGACAAGCATTAATGTGTGCAAAGTGGATAAGTTTTTGGTTTATTAGTGAGCGTTTGTATATTTTCTTTGTTGGCGTTAAGGACTGACGTCGAGTCCCGAAGTGTAATCAACATTTTGATGCAAGTAAACCCAGATAATGAGTTCCAAACATGAAGAAACCCACATCCTGGACTTTCTTGCTACTGTAAAGGCGAAGTTGATCTGGTCACATATATGCTTATCAAGACATTTTTACCTGAAAACTACGAAAAATTAATTGATTAAAAGGTCTAGTAAAAACAGAGTGATATTTGGACATATACATAGAGAGGAGTAACCGAACTTTGAAATCAACTTTAATGAAAAATGTAACAAAATGGCTTAATGATCACGTGATCTCAAATGCCTCGATTAACTCAGGGTGTAGCAAACCATCCTCCTTGATTACAAAGCACATAGTTAAAATAAGTCAAGGAATCAACCTCAAAAAATCTTTTAGCAATTTCTATAAAAGTTGTCATGGGAGTATTCTTAAGTTTATAGAGGTATTGGCTGTTAAAAAACATAAGCCACCTCTATGTGTACAATAGTTTGTTATAACTTTGAGTCTTCACTGGTAAACCTTAATTTCTTTTAGGCACCAGAATGGTGGGATAACTTCTTATCGTTTCGATATTTTATTTATTTATTTGGGCATATAAACATTGGTACAAAGGGGAACCGAATACATATGCACTACACAAGTCACTTCATTTGTGTATGGGTTGTGATATTGACCGGGTGCCCACACCGAGGCAAGTGGTTTTCTTGGGGGGGGGGTCACACCGAAAGCCTTCGACCTTAAGGTCGATTCCACAAAGTAGTGGAGCAATGTTAAGCGATGCAGTCACATGGCAGCCTATGACTAACAACAGATTCATACGCCGATTGTTCCCTCAAGAATCTGGAACCCATATGCACCATTGATATGGAATTAGGGTTTTCCAACTCTACTGGATGAATTCTCCATATCAAGCAACCCGGTTAAAGCGACGGACATTCGCTTTTCGTTCTTTCAATTTCGTGAACAACAGTAATGTTACGAGAAGGCAGTGAGTGCTTTGACTAGTACGTGTGTGACCAGATTGTTCGAAATATACAATATACAAATACATCACATCTTCCAGATCTATTTTGTCCCTATATTGTTCTAGCAAATAGAAAGATTTTTTTGGACATGAAATATCACTGAATAAACCATAAGAAGATACAAACTTATCAGCTGTTTAAGAAATCATGTATCCAAGAAGATTCAACTAATGATATCATTACTTGATATAATGAGGATATTTCTTGGTTTTCCCATGCTTTTACAATATGCTTAATACTTTATGATCAAATCTATCCTCTCATATTTAGATAATCAATAAGCATGTTATTCATCTAGCTTACTTCAATTGAAGCTTCTTAATCATTCATATTCACTGAAAACAGATTAAGTTAACAAGTTTTTCATTATATAGTTGAGATCATCAGTCAATTGAAGCTTAAACACCATGAAAGCACTGGACAGCCGTTTGATACTATTGTGAGACTCCTCAGCAGTACACATCCATGATCCTGCCTCGCGAGATTCGAACTCAGGACCTATCGGTCTCGCGCATCAACGCTTAACCTATAGACTACTGAGCAAGCCGGCATCCAACGGTGTTAATGTCTAACTTCAACTAATCCACGAAATTGAGCGACACATCCACCATAGTCTTCAGTGAGTTACTATCTCATAACAGACCTGGTTGAACTTTACCGCTTTTCACTAGAACCCCAGGAAATACTTCTTGAAACCAGTCACTATAGAGGTGGGATCGTGGATGCGCACTGCTGAGGAGTCACACAATAGGACGAAACAACCGTCCAGTACATTCAGATTTTACACGGCGGTCTAGCTTCAATCAACTCATGATCTCAACTATCAAAACATTACTATAATATCCATTAAAAACCCTTTCTGAGATATTATTCAATGTTCATTTTTTCTTTTTCAGGTTTGTTTAAATGGTTTAAAAACAATTCAACAATTATGTTATTATTTAAATGCAATTAATCAAGGTCATTTATTAAATTCTTATGCCCAAATTATAATTACAACCTTATTAAGTCGTATAAGTGAAGATTCAAGTACAAAATTTTTACAAAATGAATCATATAAATCATTAGAAGCTTATATATCATGTATAGATCATGTGATTGCTATCCATCTAATATGTACAACATTATGGGATAAGTTTCTACATAGTAATATAAGACGTAATACAATTGGTCAAATGTTAACCTACATCATTTGTAATCAGTTACCAACTAAGAAAAAGAATATTATATTATTAAAGAGATTAGGATATAATGGAATAAAGAATCTAATGAAAGTTGTTGATCAATTAATTAATGATAAAGTATCAAGTACAAGGTTAGTAGTTCATGAAAAGTTGTATTATTATAAGTTAATCTGATGATCATGAGTCATTTGAAACTAGATCATCATGGAAAACCTGAAAGTACTGGATGGTTGTTTCGTCCCTTTGTCAGACTCGTCAGCCGTTCAACCGGGTGTGTTGTGAGATAATAACTCACTGGACACAATGATGGTCGCCCAATTTAGTGGATTAGTTGAAATTAGACATTAACAGTGTTGGATACCGGCTTGCTCAGTAGTCTAGAGGTTAAGCGTTCGTGAGCAAAACCGATAGGTCGTGGGTTCGACTCATGAGAGGAGGGATCGTGAATGCGCTCTGTCGAGGGTTCGCATACTAGGACGAAACGGCCGTCCAGTGCTTCCAGGTTTTTCATGGTGTTCTAGCTTCAACTGACTCATGATCTCAACTATTAAAATTACTAGAATATCTAAAAAACCTTTCTGATATTAAATTTTAAATTATATCTATCAGATATAGTTTTACTTTTGTGTGTAAATGTAAGGGTAACTAATTTTGACAGTTGAATAAATTTTTTTCGTGTGGGTCAATCATAATTTTAAATTGATCATCAGCTTAATGATTCACTGCACGAATCCATCAAACAAAAACCTACTCATTTATCAGAAGGGGATTTTGTGGATATTATAGTAATTTTAATACTTAAGATCATCAGTCAATTGAAGTTAGACCACCAATGAACAATGGAGTTCTGCCAGGTCTGTTGTGAGATAGTAATTTACTGAAGACAATGGTGGATGTGTCGCTCAATTTCAGGACAAGCTGTGAATCACATATGGAGAAATTCAAACACTTCACTTCCACCCGAAGTTTGTGCTGATGATGTCGTTCAGAAGGACAATGAAAGCTCCACGACCAAACTATCCAGCTCAGAGAACAAACCTACATCAAAATCACCCACCTGAGCTACAAATCTTCTCCACCATCTCAGGCTCATATATACCGTTTCCTCAGAATCCTGGAATGTGTCCGCAACCCTAGTAAAACTTATCATACCTAATCCCAGACATTCGTAATCAGCTTAATTTAGTAGAAACACTGTCCTCCTGTGAATTTCGTACGGAGGACTTGCAAAATGTTGCGCGACCATAAAAGAGTAATTCAAAGTAATGTGAATTAATGAAATGAATGTATCATAGAGTCATATCTATATACCACTTAATTTCAACTCACTAATTGCCAGATAGGTTGATGCCTGATAGTAAACCTACCCATTTTTACATACAATTCAGAATTCACATATAAGATTAATTTTCATGTAAACCTGTTATATTTTGTGCCCGCCTGGATGCCATGATAATATTCAACGTGATAAGACCGCCGATTAGAGAACAGCGACTTATCAATCAGACCAAATAACACACGAAAACCGTACGAGCAGTTTAGACTACTTATCAGTCTTGCTTTCTGCCTAGCCCAGCCAGTTAAGTCCAAAACACCAATAACAGCCTCTGCAATATGAATCATTATTCTCAAACATACTGGCTTTATATACCAAACAGACAGACCACATCGTGCCATAAAATAGAAAATAACATTTGTATAAGCTTCAGCTAAATGTGGCTGTGACTAGGGGGAATAACTGGAATAGGGGGTATAACTCCCGAATGGTAAATCGTACAGTAGTAGTTTATGGGTTAAAATACAGCTTATAATAAGGGGAACATGAATACGAATAGTTTAGTTACTTAACAGTTATACAATAGGAAATATTCGCATCATATTGGTACATAAATAGTTCTCAAACGGTACCATTCATAATTCTCTTCAGGATATAACAAAACCATAATCGTATAAATTCACTTAGTATTAATTGTTTGAATCTTCCCATTGATGTTTAGGACTGCAACTGGTCAGTCTCTAATTGGAATATGTGCATACTATGCATATTGCCTAGATATAGCCTTAATTCACAAGTATTCTAAGCAAAGATGGATAGTGGCTAAGAGTGAAATTCAGTTGGACGCGTATTTCGTCTTATTTGGGACTCGTCAGCTGAATGTACCTGCATCCCCATATCAATTTATACTTTATTCCATTGCACAAGCAAGTGGCTATCAGGACCCAGTAGTTGAGTGGATAACGCAATGGCGCTTAAAACGAAAGGTACTGGGTTTGAGCCCCAGAGTGAACATCAACTCTGAGATGCAGGTACATCTAGCTGACGACTCCCAAATAGGACGAAACGCGCGTCAAACTGGATTTCACTGTTAGCCACCATCAATCTTTGCTTACATAATCGTATATATTTTATTCACTTTTTAAAATAATATTTTCAAATTTTTTTTTTGGATCAATCATTTCATATACCATAAATAGGTTATATGGACGTAAAATTCTTGAACAAATCACCATGGTTACAGATATTAATAAAATTTACAAACAAAATATTTTTAAAGAAAATTCATTAACATTGAAAAATTTAACATTTCGAAAGTGATTAAATTTGAATTCTTGCAAACAGTTTGTTTTATATTCAAATGATTATGTATCATAAATAATATAATGGGGGATCTTTCAATGAATACATTGATTACTTTAATATAATTGATTCATTACTTGTCATTATGTTATAAATTGATGATTCTATAACTTGTTACTAAACATAGTAATGTTCAGTTTATATCAGTCAACTACAATGTAGGACCAGGCACACATTTATGCATCGGTCCAAGTTGCCATACCTCACTCATTAGCACAACAAGATGAACACCGGATTCATAGAAGTAATTAATTCAGTAGTGGTAATATATAAAAGATAGGTTGTATATAAGGATATAGTATAGCAAGGAAGAACGTTATGAAGCAATTTTAATATCATAGTTTAACGGAAGAGTGTATATACTTAGACTATAGTGATCGATTCTCAGCCATGCCACACAGAGTCTCCAACCATTGATTACGATAATCACGTGGACTCCCAACTAAGTAGTCCGCATCTGCCAACATGGCTCAAACTAGAAGTTAGTGACTTCAAGCACTGATGCCATGTTTTTGTTTGGCCACCCCTAACTCTCTTCCAACTATTCCCTATACTAGTCAGCATTGTGCTTCCTGGTAATCGGTATTCAGGCATACATAACACGTGGTTCTACCATCTTAGTTGATGAAGATTCATGACTTCATCAACTGGTTTACTATCATTCACTAATACTTTGTCTAACCTCACTATTACTAATGTGATCAAAAATATATAATTTAAACATCTATTTTGAATTTTTCAGCAGTGCTTTCCTAAAACAGTTTACTAGAGTTTTACAAAGTGAAACATTCGTGCTATACACGAACAGTCGTTTGATGACACATTTATATCTCCACATCTTTAACTTTCAATGGTTATAACACAACTGTAGAATAACATGGAATGTACTGATTTGTTGTGTTTATTAAATATAATAGATATTCATATATCTTCCATTTCATACAGGTGTTATGAACTAAGGAATCTAAAATTAGCGTATTGTGTTGGTGACAACACTTATTCAGTTACCAACTTATTAGTTTTCGGGATTTCTTAGGCAGATGCTGTTTATTTATTTATTTAAACATAAATATTGGTACAAAGGAGTACCAGATGTATATGCGCCACACAAATCTCATTCGATTTGTGTGAGGGCTGTGATACTACCCAGGTGTCCAAACCGAAACAGGTGGTTTTCTTAGGGGGCCACACCCGGAGTCTTTGACCTAAAGGTCTGATCCACAAGGCAGTGGAGCATCGTGAGGAGATGCAGTCCCATGGTAGCCAATCACCTACAATATGTTCATACGCCATTTGTTCGTTCAGGACACTGGAGCCCATGTGCACCATTGATATGGAATCAGGATTTTCCAACTCCCCTAGGTGGACTATCCGTGTCCATCAACCCGGTTAAAGCGCCAGAAATTCGCGTTTCGACCTCTCAACTTTGTCAACAACACCCCTGGCACGAGAAGGCAGTGAGTGGGACTTCCCTGACAGGGGCTGTATACGCACGACCATGTGAGAGCATTTCGAGGAGATAGAGAAAACTCTCGCCACTCAGGCAGATACTGTTGTTTAAATAGATACAGATCTAAACCAATCCCGAAACAAAACTTTGTATTTAGAAGACAGGAAAAGAATTCTAGAGACTTTCTTACTGGAAACCGAGATAATGAAGAAGATTAAGTTTTGTTGTGTTCACTATGCTAATTGTGCAGATCAAATAGATTGAAATTCTTCAAATATTTTTTAAAAAGAAAACAAACGGATACTGAATCTTTTTTTATTTCAAAGATTCCATGTGAGGGCTTGCCTTGTGACGCAGTTGTGTGATTTCCTCAATGTGTGTTCTCGTACTGGAATTAATCACAAATCATGCCAACTAATATATTTATGCAACTGACTTTTCTGGATGGCATATCCTGCTAGACGATGGTACTAAGCGCACCTTAAGCTAAGATATCACATATCAGTACATTTTTTTCAACTCAAACTTATTTCAAAACTTCGCCTTAGACGTACAGATGAAAAGCTAACTGTTAAGGAGCTCCAAAAAGGTTTCTGAATAGTCTTACTAAATGTATGCCTCAGTCGAGGTAGAAAGAATAGTAGGAATTGAAGAAGGAGATTAATTATGAATACAGTGATCTTGAGTGCTGTTAGAGATATGAGAGCAGTTATCACTCCCCGGTTGCCCACACCGTGGAAGGGTTCTTCTAGAGGTACCTGAAAAGGAAATTGGGTTAGAAGTGGTCTTAATGACCTGAGAGCATGACCACAGTGCCCAAGGGACAACTGCTTGAGGTCGGCCACACACGACCTTGTGTTAGCTCCGTTCTTTAAAGGACCTTACCGCCAGAGACGGAAATCCGTGAGATAAGGCGAGGTATGCATTTTTAGGGTCGACCTTTTCTAACCCCATCCCTCCTTGTGGGAAGGCAGCATCGCTGTCGTGCTGGTTGTCTGAAGGAAACACCTCACTGCTTTCACACCTCTGTACAGTCAGCAGTACGACTTCGCCTTCGGACCTTGGGTTTGCTGCTCTTACCGCACTTTAGCTGACCTGTCTGGCATGGTAGGACCTTGATGAACGATTGTTCCAGTCAGTATAGCTCGATTGATTCATCACGATATGCAAGCCCGACCACCACGTCAAGGTAGCAACAACGGTCTATAAACATATGCTTACAACTTTATTGGCAAAATTTAAATTGTTTTAATGTTCATCAGTCAAAGCATAATTCCTTTTCATCTTGTTAACAAACCCGACTGTGAACTATATGATTTTAAAGACAAGAAAATACCCCATTACTTTATCACTATTTAGTGAATTAAACGTCTGAACGTATAGCGAAACAGATGAGTATAGCCTTACATTAAACAATACGCAAATTACTTTAACGGCCAACTAAAGTGAGTAAAACGAAAGCCGTCACTTATACTCTCATGTATCAAGGCAGAGAAGAACAAATGTCTTGAAAATGGTATAGTGTTGTACATAATCACTGAGTTGAGCTTGCTTGTTTATTAGATAATTACTAGACTAGAACGATATCCAAGACATTATGGAAAACAAACTTTTCTTACTTCAAATTTAACTAATATTTCGGTGTATATATATGATAGATGCAATGGAGCTATTAGTGGAATCCAGGATAAGTTTCATCCTATTTCGGAGACCTCATTTGGATGTATTTGCCACCGAATGCCCTGGCACGGCCGAGAGTGGAGGGGAGTCCACTTTCCCTCTCCAAATGCTCTCACATGGCCACGTGAATATAGCTTCCATCAGAGATGTCCTACTCACTGCCTTCTCATGGCTGGGCTGTTGTTCACGAAAGTGAGAGGACGTAAAGCAAATGTCCGACGCTTTAACCGGGTTGGTTGACACGGAAAGCCCACCTAGGTGAGTTGGAAAATCCTGATTCCATATCAATGATGCACATGAGCTCCAGTGTCCTGAACGAACAAATGGCGTATGAACACATTGTAGGTAACCGGCTACCATGGGACTGCATCTCCTCACGATGCTCCACTGCCTTGTGGATCAGACCTTTAGGTCAAAGACTCCGGGTGTGGCCCTGTGTGAAAACCACCTGCATCAGTCTGGGTACCTGGTCAGTATCACAGCCCTCACGCAAATCAAATGAGATTTGTGCGGTGCATATGTATCTGGTGCCCCTTTGTACCAATATTTATATATTTAAATAAATAAATAAGTATTTGCATTTCAGAGTTGATGTACACTTGGACATTCGAACTCAACACCTTTTGATCAAGACACTTATTAGTTATTTAATTAACTACTGACTTACTTCACAGAGCCAATTAATCATGCAACGCATATTAATTCTAGTTTAATTGGTAATGATTTCGATTATCCAATTGTCTGATATTTTGACTTAAATTTGATCAATCTTAGTTGGCATATGTGCATTCTATGAAAATTGAATGACATGGTTCAAAATCGTTTGCAATGGCGAAAGTGCTTCCACTCTTTGTGTTCTGCCGAATTCTGATCTCCTGAATTCTTCATGTCCCTATCTTTTTTCTCTTTTCAAATTTATTTCACTGGATTATTTTTTATTTAAACACATAAATATTGGTACAAGGAAGCATCAGATAAATATGCACCACACAAATCTCATTCGATTTGTGTGAGGGCTGTGATACTGACCAGGTGCCCAGACTGAAGCAGGTGGTTTTCACACAGGGCCACACCCGGAGTCTTTGACCTAAAGGTCTGATCCACAAGGCAGTGGAGCATCGTGAGGAGATGCAGTCCCATGGTAGCCGGTTACCTACAATGTGTTCATACGCCATTTGTTCGTTCAGGACACTGGAGCTCATGTGCATCATTGATATGGAATCAGGATTTTCCAACTCACCTAGGTGGGCTTTCCGTGTCAACCAACCCGGTTAAAGCGTCGGACATTTGCTTTACGTCCTCTCACTTTCGTGAACAACAGCCCAGCCATGAGAAGGCAGTGAGTAGGACATCTCTGGTAGAAGCTATATATTCGCTGGCCATATGAAAGCATTTCGAGAGGGAGAGGTGACTCTCCCCACTCTCGGCCGTACCAGGGCATTCGGGGGCTTCCTTATACTCCTTCAATAACATCTTCAAACCCTAATCTTTCCGACTAATGTTTTTACTCTAACTACTTCTGCCACTATGGGATTTGAATCGACAACTGCATCTCTGTGCTAATGCGGTATAGCAACTCGAACTGATGTATGTACGTACGAAGTTCTACGTTGTGACTGACTGACTAATATAGCCATTATGTCACAAGTTTGTATAGCTACCCACATGTTATCGGTTTCATATAAACCTGTCACAATGATTAACATTAAGGCAATCTGTACAAGATGCACATATGTCCAATAGTATTGATTAAAATTTCAGTCGAAATATTCGACGATGGGATAATCAAAACCACTACAAAAATTTAATTAAGCTATAAATTTAATTGAGTAATCCTGCAAACTTATAGAATACATTTCCTATAGATATTTAATCTTATCATTCGTGAGAAAAGTTATTCAGTCAGTTACAACTTTGAACTTCGTACGTACGTACATCAGTTCGAGTTGCCATACCACATTAGCATAGAGATGCAGTTATCGATTCAAACGTTCTTAATACAATTTTTAATAATATCAATATTGAACAGAAAGAATAAAATTCGAAACAATATCAGTCACTCAGCTACAACGTGGGACCAGGCACATTTATGCATCGGTCCAAGTTGCCATAACCCCACACATTAGCATAAGATGAACACCGAATTCATTGAAGCAGTTAATTTAGTGGTGGTAATACATAAGGAAAGATTGTATATAAGGATACAGTACAGTAAGAAAGACAGATATGAAGTGATTTTAATTTCATAGTTTATGAGAAGACGAAAAGTGTCCACGCCTACGCCATTGTGATCGATTCTGAGTCTTCACACAGAGTCTCCAACCATTGGTTACGATGGTCACACGGACCCCAACCAAGTAGTTTGTATCTACCAACATGACTGAAACTAGAAGTTAGTGACTTCAAGCACTGATGCCATGTTTTTGTTTGGCCACCCCTAACTGTCTTCCAACTATTCCCTATACTAGTCAGCATAGCGCGTCGCCGTAATCGATGTTCAGGCATACGTAACACGTGGCCCAACCATCTCAGTCGATGAAGATTCATGACTTCATCAACTGATTTACTATTATTCCCTAGTATCCTGCGTCTAACTTCACTATTACGTACCCGGTGATCCCAGTAGATGCGAGCAACATTTCTAAAACATTTTTTTCAAAACAATATGAAAAAGATTTATACACTATTTAGAATAATGTTTCCACAGTAAGTGGTAGAACGTTTACACACAAAAAAAAAGATTTCAACTTTCATTTTACAGTTTACAACTTCAACAGAAAACAAGTGGTGTACTGAGTATAGTTTTTTTCGAGATTATGGTAAATGGAAGCAACCGTTAGAAACAATAGAGGTACTAAGTATTCAGTGAGAAAAGTAAGAGATTACTTAATTCTAAAAAGCTCTTGAAACAATATACAGTTTACATATGAAGAGTAACTTTGTTGGGGATGTCAAATCCCCAGAACTAGCTCAAGCATAACAAACATTCAGAAAAAAATGTAAAACCAAGTAAACCTACGTAATGTACACATAAGCATGTCCATTGACTTTATATGATATATATATATATATATATATATATATATATATATATACTAATATTTGAAAAACTTCATAGGTGACAGTCTATTCTTAAGTAGTACTTGCTGGAATCAAATCATATTGTTTTTTTTTATGCATTCACTTCAGATGACTGATTTTGACGTCCACGTTTTACAGACAAATTATGTAAGCGGGCTAAATTTACTTCAACTGTAGTTGTTTGACTTTTAAGAAATTCTAATGTTTGATCTACATCTTGTAAGGATTGTTGAGCTGATTGTTCATTTTCAACTAATATTTTGTCAGCTTCTTCAAGATCATATTCTAGCATAACATTAGCACCTAACCATAAACCAACTCTATCTGCTTTAGGAATATGAGCACGTGTAAATAATTGATTAGATATTTCAAAAGTTACATCTAAATTAGTATTTTGTTTTTGTAATTGTCGAACAACAGCTAATGTTTTCTGTATATCTGGCAATTGTTGCATTAATCTTATTTTACGCTGTAATAAAGCTTGTTCGATAATTTTATATTTTTGGTATAATTCTTCAAAAGAACGTCCAGCTTCCATAAGAGTTGAAAAATTATTAGCTTTCATGTAAGCATCTACATCTTCGATGAACTCAGCTCTTGGTATTCCCTTCTTATCCATGTCATCTTTTGAGTTGTTGCTTGTGTCGGCCATAATCAATGGAACTAAAATTATAAACATTGGTAAATGATATGTTGTGAGAACTCATAATCTTAATGATAAAAAATATGACGCTAAAAACCCGAATGACAAATATTTTTTACTATTGCGAAAATTGGACTACCTTGCAACTCTCTGTCATCTGTAAACCTGAAGATGGGAATTTTTTATTTTATTTTATTTTATTTAAACACATATATATTGGTACAAAAGGGCACCAGGTACATATGCGCCACACAAAATAATGAAAGTAGGGAGAGAAAGGATGAAAAGATAAGGCGGGTTGAAATGTACAACCAGAAGACTCTTTCAGTAAGAAAGTTAGAACCATTCTTTATGTAGAAAGTAAAAGAAGATTGCAGCAGGATCGCCACTGGCTTCTATTCTGAGCCATATCTGATAACGTCTCTAGCCACTGTGTTGCACTATCTCTCGGACCCCAACCAGGGAGTCGTGAAGGACCAACGGAAGCTAGCCCTTTGCAGCTCTCTTTCATGCCACGACACCATGTCATACACTGACCTCCTCTCCGCTTTTTCCAACCAGTCCCAGGGTCGGCAAATAATGCACGATGTGGAAGTCTCTGGGACGACATTCGTAAAACATGTCCAAGCCACCGAAGTCGGTGTTTCAAGATGGTGACACCAATTGAATTATCGTCTCTGGGAATTTAATCTAAGTTAGTGGAGATAAAATCAAGCTACGATGATAAGTCGTAGTTTCCGGCCAGGTATAAGTCAACCAGACAAAATAAATGAGTGACTAGAGGCAATTATTAATGCGGCTGGGTTAATGAGTGTTTACTTTTTTGTTATCCTGCTTCGGTCTGGGCACCTGGGCAGTATCATAGCCATCACACAATTCAAGTGGTTTGTATGGCACATATGTGTTCAGTTCCCATTCGTACCAATGTTTATGTGTTCAAATAATAATAATAAACATTTACTACTACATATTTGAAAGGTTAGTGAAATTGACTAACATTTGGGTACAGAACTGGTTACGTACTGAAAGTTCAATGAACGATGTTTCTTCAAACCTTAGGGTGACGTTTGATAGTTTATGAAATATTTAATATCACTTTAAGGCTTTGACACAAAGTTTTAAGCACTTGACAGATATTTATAGGTCAGAAGATGGCTATGAAAAAACCCAACTGCACAACCCATTACGATTTCCACTAGGTATTTTTTTTAACGTTACCACAAGGTGGTTAAAAATAAACGTAGTTAAGTACTAAAAAAATCTTTTAGGAGTCAATTGGAAAACAGATCCACGCCTACTTACGTGAAGTAGGTAATTGGGAACCTGGTAAAGTAACTCAATACCGCCCACTTCCATAGGCAATGTTGTCTCGTGTTGGACCAGGTTAAAAAACCTAAGCGTACCCAAACCAAAATGTGGAACCAATCCATGAATTCATCGACAATTGGACTGAACCATATTAATAGGTAGAGACAACCTGGTTGGGGTCCGCGTGATTATTGTAACCAATAATTAGAGAATTTAGGTGACATGGTTCAGAATCGTTAGCAATAGAGTAGGTACATTCACTCTTTGTTTTCCTTTAGAACCTAGGCTACGGAAGTTCCTTATACTTTTTCATACATGATATCTGCTACTCCTAGTGACACTGTTACTACTTCTATTACTCTGGGATTTGTCTTGAAATAATTTTATTTCTCTGGGTTGATATGGCATGGTAACTTGAACCGATGCATGTATCACGTTTTATGTTGTATCTGAATAACCTAATGCCTTATATGATAAACAACTGATTTTCTGTTCACATTTGTCTGGAAAAAACGGATGTTTCATTTCCCTCTATTTCTGGGAAGTTTCGCTAGCCATGATGAGTTGGCAACTGCATAAATCTTGATACTAATTCAGAAAACATCCGTTTTTTTTCCAACTGGCACCACCTACAGTGTAAAACGATATTTATGTCTAATAAACGATGAAGGTATACAGCGTAGAAGTTTGTTTTCTTTTACTGTAAGGATGCGGGAAGCGCTTTTTGAAAGTAGAGAATTCTTAGAGTACTATTATTTTACCATAGATATTTTCGAAGCTTTAATAGTGTAAAGTGGAACGACCGAGTAAGTGATCACAAAGCTTACACATAGTACCATGTAAAGTTAGAAAATCAGTTACTGAGGCTGTGAACCATCAAATTAGATGTCTGAGAGATGCGATACCTACCCTCAGTCAGTCAGTCACAACGTAGAACTTCGTACGTACGTACGTACGTACATCACTTCGAGTTGCCATACCACATTAGCACAGAGATGCAGATGTCGATTCAAATCCCATATTGGTAGAAGTAGTAAGAGTATAAGTATTATGTGAAAGATAAGTGTTTGAAGATGTTATTGAAGGAGTATAATTCAGTGAAATAAATTTGAAAAGAGAAAAAGATAAAGACATAAGGAATTCAGAAGATTAGAATTTGGGAGAACACAAACAGTGGATGCATCTTCGTCATTGCAAACGATTTTGAGCCATGTCATTCAAGGTATCTAACCATCGGTTGCAGTCATCTCGCGAATCCCAACCAGGTAGTCTACACCTACCAACATGGCCCAGTCCACTTGTCAGTGACTTCATTGATTTGTGCCACGTTTTGGTCTGGCCACCCCTAGCTTTCTTCCAACCTACTCCTACACCATGAAACATTGCACGTCGGGGCAGTCGGTGGTCGGGCATACGTAACACATATCCCAGCCATCTCAACTGATGAAGTTTCACTACTTCATCAATCGATTTGCCATCCCTACCTAGTACTCGTTTCCTAACAACTGCATTACTTACCCGGTGGTCCCAGGATATACGAGCAATGCTTCGAAGACACCTATGGTCGAACACTAGTAGCCTACGAATATCCTCTACTCTTATTGGCCATGTTTCACTGCCATAAAGTAGGACGGAGCGAACTGCTGCACAGTAAACCCGTCCTTTGGTTGGTAGACAGATATTTCACCTACGCCATAAATGATGCAAGTTGGCGAAAGCTAGACGAGTCTTCTGTATCCGTGTTGAGATTTCGTCACATACCAGACCACAAGGGCTGATGAGACTCCCAAGATAAGTGAAGTGGTCTACACGCTCAACTACTTCACTCCCTATCATTAGTTCAGGTGTCGATGCAACCCAATCCTGAAGTAACATTTTGCACTTCGAGGGAGAGAATCGCATCCCGAACATGCCTGCATAGTTGCTTATAGTGGTCAGGAGACTCTGCATGTTGTCAGCGTCTTCACCGAGTAAAACTATGTCGTCGGCGTATTCTAAGTCAACAAGTGAGCCTCCTGGTAAAAGTTCAACTCCTGGAGGTTTAGCTGATGAAAGTGCTATCTCTAAAAGTATGTCAATGACAAAGTTAAACAAGAATGGGGAGAGTGGACAGCCCTGACGAACGCCACTTGTGGTAATCAGTTCTGATGACAGTTCGCCATAGGCTCTAACTCGACCAGTTGTGTTCGAGTAGAGAGCCTTTATGAGGTTAATGTACTTCTTTGGTACTCCTCTCAGTGACAAACATTGCCATAGAACCTCACGATCAACGGAGTCAAATGCCGCCTTAAGGTCAAGAAATACTACTATTGTGGGACGTCTGAATTTGTGTCTATGTTCTAGAACCTGACGTAGGGTGAATATCTGGTCTATGCAACCACGTCCAGGTCGAAAACCAGCCTGGTTTTCTCTAGTTTGCTCTTCACGAGCTTTGGTTAGGCGACCTAGTATTATTGAAGCTAATATTTTAGACACTATATTAGTCAAACTGATCCCTGTGTGATTGTCACAGGAGGACTTTTGTCCTTTTTTATAGACTGGCACAATCAGTGATTGGGACCAGTCAGATGGAATTACGTCCAGTTCCCAGATTCTACCTAAGACCTCAGTCAATCTCACTGCTAGTACTGGACCACCATCCTTATGGTTTACCTTACTAGCGGATATCACTGCTGTTTCTACAGCTTTTCGGATGTCATTCCACGCTGCCTCGGGGTGGACACAACTTACATGGCTGCCTAACTGTTTTTCTAGTTGTTCCTGAAATATATTCTTAGCTTGCCTATCATTAAGTAGAACCCTTAGAGGCTTCCCTGCAGTGTCTTTCCCACGACCAGTAAGACGCAGACAGATACGTGCTCGCACTAGAGCATGATCTGAATCTAAACATGTGCCCCAGAATGAGCGACAGTCATCTATCGAGCCCCTCCATCGGTGGCTGATAGCGAAGTGATCTAATTAGGTCCAACGTTGGGACGAAATCGGGGGTCGCCATGTCAAAAGATGTTTTTCCTTATGCTTAAAGTTAGTATTTGCAAGAAATAGGCGGTTATCTGAGCATAGCAGCAACAGACGGTCGCCATTATTTGTTCTTTCCGTCATGATACCATAAGATCCTCCCAGATGTCTTTCCCTTTCACTTAGTTTACCTACTTGAGCATTAAAGTCACCTGCTACTATTACTACATCAGAACGCCTAGCTTCTCGGAGAAGGTCAGAAAGTTTCCTGTAGAACTCATCTTTTATATCGTCTGAGCTGCAGTCAGTGGGAGAGTAGGCAGAGATGACGAAGAGGCAACGACGAGTATCCCTATCTTTCCGTGTCCTTACTGATCCGTTTGGTCGGACAGCGCATAGACGACTGTCTACTGGGATCCAGTCTAAAAGAGCTAGTTCTGCCCTAGGACTTAATGCTATACCTACTCCAGCGAGGCCACGGGAAGCAGCATCAGGGCTTTCAGATACACGAAGCGTGTATCGAGATGAAACTTTATTTTGATTAGGTGCGGTCAAATGAATGACACTACTCGGATCTTGTATGCGCGTTTCGGAGACGCAGCACACATCGATGGTGTAAGATTCTAGAGTCCTAGCTAAGGAAGCCTGTTGTCCTATTTGGCACAATGTTCGGACATTAAAAGTTCCTATATGTAATTTAGAGCGTGGTTTCAGGAGACCAGGAACAACGTTCTGTGTACTCGAATCGTTTGCC